TTTGTGCATAAAAGCCTAATTTGGATCTTTTCATCATATGAGTTAGTCATGTCTTTTTAGGAGACTTGGATTAAACTGCTCATTCATATGGATTTCTTTGACAATGTCTTTATGTACTCTTTGAAGCTTGAAAGTTTTGGTGAATTGGACTTTCAGTGGAGGTACAGAAAACAAAAGGGTTTGGAATGATGTGAGGGTTAGTAAATGATGACAGAGATTTCATTTTTGGTTTAACTCCATTTAACACCATCAACCCTTGGTACTAATTTGTCTAAGAGCAGGAATGTTGTTGTTTTTTTGTAGCCAGGATCTCTAAAGCCTCTTAATTTATTCAGAGACATTTTAGCCAATGGTTTTAGTTTCTTCTAATAGAGTCAGCTTATGGTCAAAGTGGCCTGATTTAAGTGATTGTGATATCACATTGAAACACTTCGCGTTCTGTCTGTCTCTGAGCTCTGTGTCCCCTGCTCTACATTAAAGTGCATCTCACTCTTCTGTTTACAAGCTGCCAGTTAGCTGTAAAAAGGTACTCCTACTCCCACTCCTTCCTTCGTCCTCTTGTTCCTCTTCCTCGAGTTTCCTCTGCCCCCTGCATTGTCTGTTCCTTCTTTCCCTCTAACTTTCCATTCCCTGGTCTTTGGCTTTCACAAAAGTCCAGATTATTCATCTGGCAGAATATTTATTATGTTGTGGATTCTTCACTTAAAAATGAAAAATCTCTCATCATTTAGTCATTCTAAACCTTATGATTTTCTTTATTCTGTGGAACACAAATATATTGCTGTTTCCTGGCAGCCATCTTGACATAAAACAAAAGTTTGACCTTACAGAAAAAAAAGCACACTCAATAGTGTGGTAGGTCTGTCTACACTGAGAATCATCATTCGTTAAATAAAGACCAGGTTACACTAATTTTGCATACAGTAGACAGTGAAATTACATTTATGGATATAGCACAGAATAGCTTGAAATCAAGGATTTCAAGTTTGTCGCTCATGCATGTCCAGTTGGACAGCCTGGTCTGTAATCAACATGCACCTTGAAATCATTTATAGCACAAATATTTTGCTCCCCCCCCCCCCTTCTGACTTCTTCCCATATGCAGCTTGTGTCTGTGTTTGTGCTATCACCCATTTCCTCCCCTCATACAGCTTCTGGCAGATTCTCTAGAAAGTACATACATTAATACAGAACAATTCATGTTGTTCAGTCAAACATATTTAGCTTTAGCGCTCCCCAGTGACATGTTTCAAACCTTTTGCTCTTGATTTCTCTCTGAAAACCTGGTAATGGTGGTCAACTTCCTCATGTCCCCAGTCAGAGAACATAAATACTTCCACTGTTGATGTTGTAAACCTACTGAAATAAAGGCTGCAAGCAGTTATGGGCAGTCAATATGCACCTCTGTGGCTGTTACAGTCTGTTTGGCTTCCCCTGCTATTCATTTCACTCTTTTCTACCTGTCCTCACTCATCCGGTTTCATCTGTCGATCCATACTGCGCAGTGTGAGAGCAAAGCTTTAGTTTAGTTTTTTGTTGTAAACTATTATCTAAAGCAGT